ATTAAATCAGCAAACTGAATAAAATTAATTGGAATTAATGTTTAATTTCTAACCTAACCTACATGTGTATGTATGTAACTGAATCGCCTAATAAAAGGTTTACATATCAAAAGATTATCCTCATTTTCGAGCTTAACTCCCTAATCTGTAATTAGAAAAAGATATTAGCCATACAAAATTATAATTAAAAATATTTCAGATTAAACCGATAACTTTTTGGTGTTCAACCTAGTTTTATCGATTATACTTGCGAAGAAGAGGAGCAATGTCAAATTTAAAAGTAATCAAAAATTTACGCTAGCAAGGAAAAGAGGTTTGTAAAGGTATTTTTAATAAAATACTAAGTTAAAATATATGTAGCAGAAAAAAGTGACCATGGTGGCACAGAGAAGAAGCTTAACTTTTCCTCGAGTTGTGAGAATTACAACCACAACCAATTTGACAGCTAACGAGCTTTGATTGGGATTATATTTATACGTAAACGTACTTTTATGCTTTGGCGTACGCATATGTTTACACATCAAATTTCATGAGTACCTAGCACTCACGCCTTTTTTTTTGTTCCCGTACTTTTTCTGTTACTCACTTTTTACTCTCACTTCAGAGAGTCCTTTTGCTCTTTTACATTTTCACAGCATTTTACACGAAAAGTATTAGATCAGATCTATTATATCATCCATACATATGTATATATACTTATATTCATGTCTGTTCATCAGTCATCAACGGTCCAAGTTAAAATGATTTCAGTGTTTTTTTAATTTTTGCTTTGCTTTTTTAACAATAGACTACTAAACCTATGCCTAAAACCATGCTACAAATATCAAAACCACTTGCAACAAATGAGTTCATTCCTATGTATGTATGTACACACAAACTTGGGTATGTATCAAGAATGATAGAATACAAGATTGCGCCAATGAGAGAGGCTTTTTGAGCGTAATTTTTGCGTGACGTCATCTTGGTGCAATTGCGAGAGAGAAATGCCAAAACGCATATAAAAATATGTAAACAATGCAGAAAAATGTGTTAATTTTAATATTGCATGGCCCATTTTGGCAGGAATCAATAAATATACAAAGATTGATTAATTAGGAACACGTAGCAATAATTTTGGATATGTAGCCCTTTAGATAAGTACGATTTGTAGCACATGAAAAAATGGATGTATTAACAGTGTTTGCAATTTCATGTAGACCAAAAGGAAGGTGTGCAGCAAAGTGAATTTTCCGGACTCGCCCCAAAGCATACATTGTAAAAAGCCATGCAGAGTGCATATTTATATTTGCTGACGGTAGGCAACCACCATAAACTCCACAGCTTTTGACTCCACAACTTTGATTTGACGACTTTTGTACCATTTCCGAGAGGATCATGCATCCTTGGCTTCTTTAGAAGCAAATATTCTATGTAAGTAAAAAATAATTTAAGCTGAACTTTTAAATGTATAATAATTTGGGCACTGTTTTGTATTAGGTCCGTAACAGCGCGGTAAGATGCCGCTTGAATTAGAGCCTGGCGACCTTATCCACTGGTGCATTATCTCATACCAGCACTAAAACAATCAGATACTAACAAAAATAAGTAGGTAGTGAAGTTCATGTATCTATTTACTGTAGAAACTGCTTTTGTATGTATGCCATTGCTAGCAAACTAAACCAGCAACTGTCTACATTCACCATGGAAATATACCTACTGCAATTCACCAAGGAAAGGCCAACATAGTTCCATGTAGAAGCTCATGGCTCACACACATAGCAGAAAGCTCGATTTGGTGTTTAATGCATGTCCTCCCCGGCAGAACTGCTTCCACTTTTTCGACAGGTTTGCGTCCGTAGGAAACGAAAAACAAACTTATATAGCACGCTTTCCTTTTGTTTTCACTATTACACTTTGCCACTGCACACTTCATTTTGTTTTTTAATGTCTCAATAATTGTTTAAAACCACGCAGAAATATTAACGCACAAATATTAAAATTGTTATTTGGTTTTTTCGTATGCTCACATTCAACAATTGCACCAAGATGGCGTCACGCACACAGCTCATTCTGTCAAAATCACAAAGAGCGGATTAGCGGTACCGCGATTGGCGCAATCTCTATTTCTCTCAATCGTGGGTATGTATAGATATAGGTATATATATTACATATAATACATTTAAGTTCAGCTTAAATTATTTTTTACTTACATAGAATATTTGCTTCTAAAGAAGCCAAGGATGCATGATCCTCTCGGAAATGGTACAAAAGTCGTCAAATCAAAGTTGTGGAGTCAAAAGCTGTGGAGTTTATGGTGGTTGCCTACCGTCAGCAAATATAAATATGCACTCTGCATGGCTTTTTACAATGTATGCTTTGGGGCGAGTCCGAAAATTCACTTTGCTGCACACCTTCCTTTTGGTCTACATGAAATTGCAAACACTGTTAATACATCCATTTTTTCATGTGCTAAAAATCGTACTTACCTAAAGGGCTACATTTCCAAAATTATTGCTACGTGTTCCTAATTAATCAATCTTTGTATATTTGTTGATTTCTGCAAAATTGGCCCATGTAATAGTAATATTAACACATTCTTCTGCATTGTGTACGTATTTTTCTATGCGTTTTAGCATTTCTCTCTCGCAATTGCACCAAGATGACGTCACGCAAAAATTACGCTCAAAAATCGTCTCTCATAAGCGCAGTCTTGTATTCTATCATTCTTGGTACAAAGCCGTATGCTTGCGCGGAGTTTGCATAATCGGAAGCAGTGTTACTGTTGTCCGACTAAGGTGTCAAATTGACACTTTTTGGAGATCGATACCCCCTGACACCGACTTTTTAGAAATAGGCTTTTTTTGAAACTTTTCTTAAAAATCATGCGACTTTTGCCCCTTTTCTTTGATTAAAAATTATATATACACATTTTGACAATTTTTTCATAAAATATTACTTTTCAAGGGCGCTTAAAAATTACATCTCTGGCAAAATTTTGACTGATTTCAACTTTTTTTATTATGGCAAAATTTGTAACTTCCCCAAGTTATTTGTGTTAAATTCATTTTCGTGGCTCCCGGTACAAACAAATAATCGGCGATAATTTTTATACAAGCTTAAAAGGCTAAACCTTGTTGTAATAATTGTGTTATATTGATGTAAGTACTTTTTTAACTGCAATTTTGTTTTCATAATAAATGCAAAGTATGCATATTGCGTATTTTTAATATATTCCTCATCAATAGGTTTATATTTTAAGAGAAAAAAATGCTTTTCGCAGAAAATTATCTCCATTAGCAATTTATTAAAAATAATGGGTCATACTCGTAGATGAAACAAAGTCGAGTCTAATGTTAGGTGCAGCTTTTTTGACAGAGTCGATTTTATTTCGACTATGAATATGCGCCAATAAGTTGCGAGAGGTAAAATTATAAAAGTCTTTATATACGTGGTATAAAAGATTTGAATTACTTTAATACACTTTTTTTCGGCTGACACATTTTTGAGACTTTCAAAAATTTTTCTGCGGTAACAGTGATCGGAAGTAATAACCATATGCACCGCTTATCCTTTTACTCGGCATATGCCTAAATGCATGCAACCAATTGCAACAGAAAGTCAACACAGGGTGCTTCTAATGAAATTAAAAATTTTCTGTTGCAATATTTATGCTAAGCCCTTCGAAATTTTCTGCTGGGCTATGCGTTACAGCTTCTTAAATTTTACTCCTACCGAAACCAAAGATGTATACACATCAAAAACCATTTTAACTGTGTTATTCTTATGGGAAATCGAAAAGTGCGATGCAGACATTCTTAATATTAGTATTAAGGGCTCATATTTGCTGAGACTTATTTTGGCGTCTAATAAACTTTTAAGCATGTTTCCGAGGAAAAATAATGATTTTTTTTTCTGTATCACCCTAATATATAATATGCGAATTTTACAAGCTCACACTCAACTGTGTGCGTACGCCAAGCATTTGCATGTGAAGTTCTGAACACATTGAAAACGACGAGCCACGGGCCACAGCTTCTAATTTGTTATCTTCATTATCTAAACGCTTTGTCGATGACGACATGATATTTTTGAACGCGGCAGTGACGTAATGAATTTTTTAAGAGTTTGACATAAAAGAAGAGGAAGAACCTTATCTGTCGCTGGAAAAATAGAAATATATTTAATCTGGCCACAATCACAGTCGTCGCTTAGCCCGACCGTCGCCAAGATAATTATCGTTTAAGAGTACGTGTTTAAATAATCTGACAGCTGTGGTCCGTAGCTTGTCGTTTTTATTGTGCTATGAACGACAAGTTTTGGCAGATGCGTGCGAGCGTGCAAAATAATACAAATGGAACTCTTTGCCTTTGCGAATGTTAACGTTCATGCTCGCATTGAACTGTATAGCGAGCTTAAGCGATATTTTAGATATTGTAATCGAATCTACCCACAGTCTACACTATGTTAAGTTGCGAGTGCCCCAGTCGGACCATGCAGAATGGTTCCGTAAGAATTCCTTTTAGGGTACTGGTTTTTTCACGAGAAATTCGAAACACATTAGATTATGTAAGAAAAATTAGAAAAAATCTACATGAATTACACTAAATTCTTTTTCACTACTATGGAAAGCTAAAAATCTGTAGGTTGTGAAAACTTCGCTGCTAAAGTCAGCATTGTGTAATGCTTACTACGGCAAATAAATCCGAACGAGAATAAAAACTCTACAAAGCACTCCAAACCAACAACAACCCCCTCATGCAAAATTTCCTTCTAAAAGAACCGTTCTTGCTGTGTTTCACGCCTCTATAAAAGCGAATTAGAGACTTCATGTTTTTGGAACTACATCTGAGTGGAAAAATAACCGTGCTATAGGTACAACCAAGTCCGACTGGGGCATTCCGTTTTATTTTTGTACCACTGTGTAATTATTACCGTGTAAAAAATCGCCATATTTTTTAATTTGCCTATGCAAATTTTATTGTCTAAAATAATTTGCATTTTTAATTGTACAACTTTTACAGCTTCCAATACTCCCTTGAGTCCATCGACGTTGAACTGATGTGGGACATGTGTCGTTATGAACAGGCGTGGCATGTTGATCGTACTAGTGTGTGGTGCTCCGTAAGTAAAATTTAGCTTATGTTAGGGTTGCCAGATTTTTTATGCGGGAAATCAGTACGTTAGACTTTTTCATGCTAAAAAATTAGTACTTTTCAGTACATTTTTATTCAAAGCAAAATTATGAATGTAAGTAACAGACAATACTTTAAAACGCCAGAGTGCTTGTTTTTAACAATATTCTGGTATATAAATAAAACATAGTTCATAAAAAATAAAAGTGTCATTCATTTTAACATGAGTGTACATATCATTGTACACAGAAGCCAGTAAATTATTTTATATTTGTGACATTGTTGAATAGCAATAATGAGATCACTTCCATCTTGAGATTTTAAATAGTAAAAGAATTCCATATATTTCATTTTAACATTACTTTTAATTTGAAGTTTACTTTAAAAAATTTTAATTAGAAGCCGGTTTTTCTCTTTGCGCCAGGAAGCAAACTTTATACTCCCAGATGATTCGTTTGAGTGGGGTATTACAACAACAAAAAATACATATTTCAAACTGTGGAAAAGTACCACTATTTAAGGACTTCATCTATATTTCCTCATGGCTTAAATTAATTTTTTCAACTATGCAAAAACTTCGAAAGACTAATAACACTGGTCGACGGCCAAAATTTACCAGAGACGCCGTTATGAAATTCGTATGTAAAATCACCCCCTGATTCCGAAAATCAAGGTTATTTTTAATTTTATGGTACCGTTTTTGAGATATTTGCAATTTACCGTTTTTGCAAAAAAAAAAAAAATTGGGTCCACTTAATCATATATATCTCAAGAACGAATTAAGCAATTCCAAAACGGTTTGAAGCTTTTAAAAGGTAATAAAATTTTCTATAA